ATTATGATGATCTTGTTATTGGTGTCTTGATGTTTACTTGTTATTTTGTATGAATATGAAAAAAAATCATGCTTCATTGCTTTAATAACAAGTTACTTTTCACTATTTGAAAAAGTTCTCAAATACATGTAGTTGTGGTGGTATTGGGGATGATTTTTTAAGATGCGTTTTTATAAAATTGGTAAAAGTTCCAATGTGACAACAGTAAAAGGTCTTTAGGTCATTAAACATGGTAGAATGGGAACAAATTTTTGTGCAATGATTTTCGCAAATCAAATGTCCAAAATGTTCTTAATCAATTAAACATATGTCCAAAATGTTCTTAATCAATTAAACATATACATATGTGATATTGCTCAATATCCATATAATTTAGTTTGATATGTTACCTTTATCATGCATCACATTGTGCACCTCATCACCTGTCCATTAAATTCCTGATTAAAGGCTGATAGTTTTAAAAACTGTTATTCTTTTGGACTATTCAAAGAAAATTAAAAACCACAGGGACTGTTTTTGCAGTTTTCTCAAAATTATTTTGTTATGCAGATTGCAGGTTGAGGGGGTGTGAACTGTGAAGTGGACGTCTAGAATTCAAAATTCAGAAAGCGCTCTTAACTTCGTATCCTTTCGATCTTGTTCGTTCGTACGCCATCAACTTCGCTGAATTCATCGCCATCTTTCTTTTGTTTAAGGTCAGATTCCTTCTGTCTCTAATTCTTTCTAGTTTCTTCATCTGGTTGATTCTTTCTATCCACTTTTCTTTTTATTGCTTCATCGAAGATTAGGGTTTATACGTTCTGTACTCTGGATGAACACTTTCACTGTTTATGGTTCTGACTAGTTTCTATAGAAATGGAAATCATTCCTCCTATGTTTGGAATCAGTTCATTTACTCCAGACAAATTGGCCGATTGAAGGACTAATTTCATTCCAAGATTTTACATCACTCTTCCCATCTTCATACTTTTACCCTTTTAACTTTGATTTCATTAGGGTGATTCGATTCCCCTGTTTGCTTTCAACCTTCTGCTTCAGATAGTGTCAGTTAAAATGAGAATATGCTTGTTTGATGAGACCTCGACATTACCATGCTAATGTAATGAATCCATATTCTATTTGCAGGAAAGGAGACATGAAGGTTAAGCTTTTGCGTATCCTTAAGATATCACTTTTACATTTCAATTTTATCAGATTAATTAAAAATTCATTGTTTCTGTTCTTTCTTAACCAATTTGCCTACAAAAATCCGGCGAACATATAAACAGAGTATGTCATCCACCATTCTTTTTTTTTTTTTCAAAAGAAAAAGAAACATTTGATTTATGAATTATGGAAGGAATTGAAATTGTATTTTTGTTTGTTGATTGGTGTGTAGATGGCATGCAGTAGCTTCATGGACATGGGATGCTCAAGATGAGACATGTGGGATATGTAGAATGGCTTTTGATGGCTGTTGTCCTGACTGTAAACTCCCTGGTGATGATTGCCCACTAAGTAAGTCTCTCTTGGTTTTATTTTAAAATATAGATTAGGGGTATTTTGGTCATTTAATAAAAAAAAGGAAGAATGGAATTGAATCTCTTCCACAATCCCTTCACACCAAAGAATGGTGAAATCCATCAGACATGGAATTTGAATGATTTTGACTGAATTGAATTACATTAATTTGGCAACTAAAGATGTGACGGAATGGAATCTCGAATTCCGATTCCGGTGTTATTTGTTTGTTTTTTTGTATGTGTAGTTTGGGGTGCTTGCAACCATGCTTTCCATCTTCACTGCATTCTGAAATGGATAAATTCACAGACTCCCCAGGCACACTGTCCCATGTGCCGGAGGGAATGGCAGTTTAAAGAATGAGTCTCCACCGGAATTGGAATTCCATTCCATTCCATTCTCATTTCTCAATGCAAATGACTATGTAATTCAATCCCTTTGTCATTGACAAAATCGATGGAATTCAGTTGTAATCTTCTTTCATTTCTATAAATGATTTGATACAGGAAAGCACAAATGATTGAAATGCATTTTGTAAACATATTATTGTTATTATGTAATTAATTTTTGGTAGTTTGCTTTGTGTTGATAAATTTATGCTATTAAATTGGTACAATTATTTTTTTTGCGTAAAAAGTTATGAACGGGAAACTAAAAAAATAATTTAAATATTTTTACAAGTAATTTTAAATAAGTTTTGTGAACAACAAATAATAAAACATGATTTTATCATTTGTCATTATCTACTTCCATATTTTATGACATACATACCAAACATAGATATACAATTACAAATAAAATTCCATTTTCTTTCCTTCAAATTCCATTTGTTTCCTTTCTAAAACATTCTATAAATAAAAAAAATACTCCTAATATTATTACACTTACTGTTTCCAACTTTCCAAACAAAGAAATGGAATTCCATTTTGTTTTCTAACAACCAAACATTTGAGACTTCAATTCCTCTATATTCAAATCAAAATATTCAAACAAATCAATGCCCACATCATATATATATTATTCTAAAACACTTGACACAACAAAAACTTGGACTCAGTCAAAGTCAAACTTGACTGTTGACCAAAGGTGATGAAATGACATGAAAGGAATGAAGAACTTGTTCCAAAATCATTCGTGTGTGGTCATCAAGGGGGTTTTTCAGGGTTATCTGAGTAAGCAATATTTAAAAGGTAGAGCTTCTTGGAGGCCACAAATGCTGCTGAAAATACCCTTTTTACCCCTCCCCTTGTGCTATCTAGCTTGTATTCAAATTCATACACTTGTACATCATCACCCTTTTGTCCCCCTCTCTCTGATGATGATATTATTTCTACATCTTTTGTGCTTTCCTGTATCAAATCAAGTTCCAAATCTTTCAAATTGCAACCTACTTTACTCTTTTTTAAAAGCTTTCTACATTTATCCTATGTGTATAATAACAATGTATATACCTTTCGTTTCTCAGCTTGAATAAGCTTATTAGCAACGAATTGAGGATCTCCAAAGTCACGAAGAGTGGTGAGACGAACTGGTGTTACAACAACCCCAATATTGTTTCCTCCTTTACTTGGATCTTCAAACAATGCAGTCGCACCTGCTTTTTCAACCTATCAATCAATCAATTTCACGGAATGAATCGAACCAAAAAGGAAAAAACAAACCCTAGAATGAGGAGAGTAGAGTAGTAGAAGAATCGAACAGACCTTTGTCCAAGGTGTGGGTCTGAGGAGTGTGAACCCCTCGTTCGTATCTGTGTAGCTTTCGAGCTCTAAGGACTCTTGCGTTTGAGCCCATGTGGATGTGGAAGATAAAAAGGGAGAAATTGGTGATGCGATTATGGTTAGAATTGAGATGTTCAACAGGTTTCTTCTGGTTGACTGAATCGGCAAGCGATTGTTGTGATTTGGTGATGTGGGTCGTTGAAGACTAGATAGAGGAGGAGAGTGGGGGGATGTTGAGTTTGATGCATTTGACGATGGTTGGTTGTGTTGTAGGATTAATTTTGACCAGAGAAAAACAAGATGAAGATATCATCTTCTGGGAAAGATGAGTCTTGCCGTTGGGATTTAGGAGAAATTTCTCATGTCCGTTTTTTTTGATTGTGTCGATTTTTATATGTTTTCGTTTTAAATCTTTTTTTGTATGGTTACACTTTTCATTTATGTTGAAAACACAAAATAATTAGTTTGTACTTTGTATCTATATTGTAGTCCACGGCGACAAAAAACAAATTAAAATCTACCCAACCGAAGCATGGTTTATGTTAACACGAGAATCCTCGCGTGTTGCGCTGAGTATTTAATTATTTAATTAAAATAACTTTTAACAAATTTTAATTTATTATTTATAAGATAAATTACATTAATAGTCCTTCGTGCATATATCCAAAAGCATGTTTGATCATCATTTTCAAAAACTAACTCGGATTGTTCTGTTTTGTTCTGGTATTGTGTGCTGTTTCTTAGTATTATAACTATTGCTAATAAACATTTTTAAATCGAGAGAATTTAATTTTAAAGACTTGGTTGATTAGATAGGAACATGAAATGAAAACACAACATCCTAAAATTCAAAGGAAACTCATCCTGATATTTCTCAATCGCCCGATGGATTTTCTAATTCCCACCGATTTGTTCAAATTCTCGCAACTTATGAGGTATGCAAATATTTTGAGTGTAATATCTCTTAATATCTGTTTCTTACCTATTTTTCGTTTGTAATTAGTTCAACTAGGAATGATTGAATGTTGATTCTAGAAAACATAAAAAACTAAATAACCTTGAAAATATCAAATTTAGATACGAAAAAGGAGCTTGATTCTGTAACATCCGGAATCTCAGGTATATTATTTAATATATATTTTTTTATTATGAGAAGGAACTCGGCGAGTTAATGCGTAGACTCGCCGAGTAGGGTCGTGATTGTTCATCCGGATTCACTTTGGACTCGGCGAGTCCACACTATTTAATGAAACCCTAAATCCTTCAGGGTTGGAGCCTATTTAAGGGTACTCTTAGCCTCCCATTGCGGCTACCAGTCCCTTGAGAGCTCCCTTAGTGATCTATTTCGTTTGGAAGGAAGAAGAAGCCTTTATTGATCTTTCTTTCCTTGGTTTGGAAAAAAGGAGGTGATCAAGAGCAAGAGGAGGCTGAAGGAGGTGTGGTTCAAGTGGTTTTAGAGTCCAGAGATTCCAACTTGAGGTATTCATTCGACTTTTCTTCAGTTTTGGTATTTAACCTAGGGATTAGGGTTTTCTAACCCTTTTAGAGGATGTTTATATGGAGCAGTTGGTCCCTTATCGAGTCTATGCTTTGGATCTGGACTCAAAGATGTTCGGAGACTTCAATCCAGTATGCTTTCTGGGTCCTTGAGGGGTGATTGAACGTAGGTTGCCATTTATGGGACTAAATCTCCATTTGATGCCATTATATATGTTTATAAGCATCAAGTTTCGAGCTGTACGTGATTATATTGATTGGAAAGGTCAGATCTATGGAATGGAGGAACAGATCTGACCTCAGGAGGTCAAAAGAATCTGTGCATGGCATCTACTCGCCGAGTTGTTCTTGGGACTCGGCGAGTTGAGTCAAGGTAGCCCCGCGATTCATGCCTGGGGACTCGTCGAGTAAAGGGAAGTATTCGACGTGTTGATTGGACTAAGGAGTTGAGTGGAGACAGGTGGACTTGCCGAGTTGCCCAAATGCACTCGCCGAGTCGGGTCAAATTTGACCGTTGACTTTGGTTGGCTTTTAGGGTTTGGTCAGCAGCGAGGCCTTTGAGTCAAAAGAGGGGTAAAATGGTCTTTTACCCTTCTGAGGATGTTAAGAAAGCTTAGAGTACGGTCATATTTATAGGAATATTTGCCTTATGTGTTTAGGCGGAGGCTGAATCGCATTTCCCACCGAGTTAGTGAGTTACCGAGATATTTGAGGTGAGTCTTCTCACTATACTGTACTCGGAGGAGTATTTATGTGTGACCGGAAGGTCGGATATTGTGACAACCCGAAATTTCCATTCGGTCAAACCCTAAAAGTCAACCACTTCGTGTCATAAGTCAATGTCATTATTTCTTATTTTTAAGAAAAATAAAGTTCGTTTGATTATTTTAATCTTATTTTTAAGCGAATGGGTGTAAGAAAGTGTTGTCTCGGGTATTGATTTTTGAAAACCGCGAACACTTCGCGTATTAGAAACACCTAACCAAACTTTTAAGTTTGGGTCGAAAAATCATCCAAAAATCCATAAACTGATGCTTATACATGAGTTTACTCCCCATTTATCAAAAGAGTAAACTCCAAAAATATTCTCTCAAGTATCATCCAAGATTTAATTCCAAATCTTCAATCTTGTAAGTGTTTTAACCCTTTCAAGTTAGTAAAACACTTAATCTAGTGTTTGTGCATCTATTCATCCATTCATTTCCGGTTTTTGTTTAGATTTTCCAAAACACCAAGAACACCAAGAACACACACTAAGTGTTCTTGGCCTTTTAGCTCAATTCAAGCTTCCTTATGTAAGTACTTCCATCCTTGAGTGATTTTAAGCTAGTATTACATTTGAATATCAAGAAATAATGTCAAGAACACAAGGTTGGAGGTGTTCACGGTCCAAGAATGTTCTTGGGCGGTAAACACCATAAAGTGCACCAAAGTGTACCTAAGTCCAAATCTAAGCCTTAGTTTGATGTTTAAGCCTTCCATGAATTGATTGAACCTTAGTTTGATGTATCTAAGCCGTGAAAAACACCCAAAATCCTACATTTTTAGGTTTTTACGGTTTGGGGAACTCCCAAAACCGTAAACACCCTAAAGGGTGTCCAAATGGGTTATTTTCCTTCCTTAGGCTTATAATCTAGCACATACAATTACCTAATTGTGTTAGGGACTTGAAAACATGGCTATACACTCCTCCATATGGGTTTACGGTTTTGAACCCAAAGGAAAATGCCATTAGGCTGTAAACTCCTCAAAGGAGGTGTTTTGTTGCCCTAGTCCCTTCCAAAGGCCAAACCACTTAGTAGAATTGCTCCAAGAGGCTTGCTAAACCACCAAACAACACCTAGTCATTAGGACTGGAGTTTACGACCGTAAACTCTAGAGTTTACTGCCGTAAACTCTTTGTGTCATGACCATGAAAACCGTAAACTCCAAGGGAGTTTACCCTTGGACCCCAAACACACTAGCCTTTCCCTACAACACTTAGATGCAACCCTTGAGACGTATAACACTTGTATAAAGTGTTTAGCATGTCCTAGACTGTCTTAACTTTGTTTATTAGTTGTTTAAAGACTAATCGTGTATATACATATATCCTTATATGTTATTAGGATCTTTGTGCGTGTCTAAGTCTTCACTTGACACCAAGCACTTATCCGACACTTCCTTCCGATCCACTTACTACAGGTGAGTTCATACCCCTTAATCAATGTTTTAACCATTTTTAAATGTTTTATGGGGGGGGGGGATACAAGTAGAATCATGCTAGTTACTATATCATTCACATATGATTACTAAGCAGCATTCAAATGATTGACTATTCATTAGCCGTTTTACCAAACAGTTTCCTTCAAATGTTTTTCATAAACACTTTATGTGTTTACAACTCTTTATTACACTGTACATTTTACTCTGTATATTACATTTCAAACTTATTTACAATTGTGTTTCAAACAAATGTTTCTTTATACTAAACTGTGTTATCAAACCCATGCCTTCAAATTGTTTTATAGATTGACATCAAGTCGATCTTTTCTTAAGATAATAATTATGTTCAAAGGTTTTACAAAACTTACTTTATGCTTTTATATTATAAATTGCATGCCTATATATGTATAGTTATATGAGAAATGTTTAAAAGACTTAGGAAGGCTATCCACCCTATTTCCTTTTCGCGCTTGAGATGTGGTCTGGTGGGATATCGGGTATCCGTCTGAAGGTCGTTTAAATATTAGTTATATATCATATGTACATATATAGTCATAAAGGCCCTTCCAGTTCATCCAATGCCCTTGGGTAGCAAGGGTATACATCCATGTTCATACGTACCAGTTATATTACTAGTAAGCTACCATATGGGTAGTTTCGGAAGATACTAGAACTATTACTAGAATGCAATACTATACAATGAGTCAGTTCATTCATGAGTCATACTTTCTAGAACATTACAGTACATTACTATACTTGCTAGATAGAGAGCACGTACACTACAGCTATAACATTACAGTACATTACTATACTTACTAGATAGAGAGCACGTACACTACAGCTAGAACATTAAAGTATATTACTATACTTGCTAGATAGAGAGCACGTACACTACAACTAGAACATTACAATACCTTACCATACTATTACATAGATATAGTCACATTATCACATGTACATGAGTACACTTACAGGAATTACTAGTACATTTTATATGTATAGATTCTGGTATATAATCCTCATTCTTATCTTTACCTTGTGATTCAATCACATAATCGACGAGATAGATTGGATTTAATATCCTAGTACCCAAGGATACGTTGCGGGACTGACCATTCCTAGAATCTCTGTTAGCTACAGAGGTAAAAGCACATCCACGGATGTCAACGGTTGATACCATTACAGGTATACTTTTGGGGACTGACTATTCCTATACCCAACTGTTAGCAAAAGAGGTAAATGTACATCTACGGATGTCTTCAGTTAACATTGTTATTTTCCCTAGTACCAAAGGGTGATACTATTACAGTTAGGTCTTGGTAGAAGACTACATTCAGAATAGTTAGGTCTTGGTAGAAGACTACATTCAGAACAGTTAGGTCTTGGTAGAAGACTACATCCAGAACAGTTAGATCTTAGTAGAAGACTACATTCAGAACAGTTAGGTCTTGGTAGTAGACTACATGAGAACAGTTAAGTCTTAGTAGAAGACTCCTTTTGTTACTAATAGGAATCATAGGGATTTCTAAGGTTTTCAAACGTTTACAATTGTTTTACAAACATGTTCATACTTACAATTAATATACGTTTTCATACTTGCAGTTCATTTAC